AACAGCACCACCATTCAAAATACATTATAATCAAACATAAAATTTATTTCTGATGAACCAAACAGGTTGAATTTTTATGGAAATGCCTCCAAACCATCCACTCTCCTCCGCTTATCCGGAGTCGGGTTGTGGGGACACCAGCCTAAGCAGGGAGGTCCATACTTCCCTCCCCAGGCACTTGGGCCAGCTCCCAAGGGCTTCCCTGGCCAGCTGAGAGACATAGTCCCTCCAGCATGTCCTGGGTCTACCTTTAGGTCTCCTCCCTGTCGGACGTGCCCGGAAAACCTCACCAGGGGGGCATCCTCAGCTGGCATAAAATAACTATATGATTAACTTATCCAATTTCAATTCAATTTGTACAAACTGTTCTATTGTGTAAAAGATTCATTCAAAATTCTATTTCAATTCAATTCAAAAGGAGAAAACAAGCCTCACATTAAATCTGGAAACCTCAACTTAAAAATTGTAACTAATATAAATATTTACATTGAAATCAGCTGATTACACTCCTTTTTAAGCAACCTTTTAATTAAAATGCACTTTTAACATGCTTAAATGTCGATTCTTTACCCTTTTTTCAACAAGAGGGTGAAAGTTTGTCTTTCTTCCCCTGAAGTGTGGGTGTTTGCTGATGTGCTGTGCTGTGTTCACTCATTCTTCCCAATGTTTTTCCTTTCTTCTTGTCATTTCATGCCAACCACACACTGCTCCCTCCCACTCTTCACAGCTCCACTCCATCTTCTCCCTGTTTTTTCAGCCACCACTCTCTCCATCATCATCCTCCTCCTCCCTTCCTCCTATCCATTACCTCCTCACTTCATCATTCTTTTACGTTCCATCTTTGACTGTTCTCTCCTCCTCCCTCTTCTGCAGCTTCTCTTCTAGATTTAGAATGTTTGTGATTTTTTTCTTCCTGATTTCTTTACTTTGTTTTGGTTAGAAAGTTCAAACCACTTTTTGCACCTGCTTCAAAGAAGCAGATGTTGTTTTTTAAAATATTTTTTCATAACTAACCAGCTCAGTGGCCTAGTGGTAGAGTGTCCGCCCTGGGATTGGGGTCACACCAAAGACTTTTAAAATGGGACCCAATGCCTCCCTGCTTTACACTCAGCTTTAAGGGGTTGGTTTGGGGGGTTAAACTACTAAATAATTCCCAAGCGCAGCCACCGATGCAGCTCACCGCTCCCCTTCATGGGGATGGAAATGCGGACCAGTCACCAGTGTGTGATGATGACTATTGGACTTTAACTTTGTAGCAATTAATACATTTTTAATTATGACCAATAAGATGTGATATTCCATACAATCAGAAGATTCTAGGGTTCTTTGCTTGTTCAGGGACCATAAACACACTTCGTATTAATTCAAACAGAGTCCGTATATAGTTTATAAAATTAATTTTATTCTTTTTCCTTAACTAATATACATGACAAGATATGAATAAGGAGATGTAATGTGGTGGATGTGAGGTGTTGTGAGGGAAGCTAGATGTTGTAGCAACCGTTCTTTGTATCTGAGAGAAATTGTGAAATCTGGGTGTAAAAGAATTTGTTGTTTGTAATAAACTACAGAGTTAGTTATTGATGAAAACCTTATCAGACACCAGCATGCAGGCTTACGATACCCTTGTATGAGTTGCTTCCGGTGGTCTGGAGGTTTGCTGTCAGAGCAGTGAGGTCACCGGACGTCGAAACCACAATACTCAGAGATTAGTAGCTTCCTCTGAGTTCAACTTCCCCGGCCATGAGATGCAACCCAGGGTCTGCAGGTTAGATGTCTCAGGTGTGTAGTAGCTCTGAAAAGAGCTGTTGTGTCTGTAATCACTTGCAGCATTGCAGAAAGCTTTTGACTTGAGGTCGAAGGAGATTGTTTCTAAAGAGATGCTTCTTTCCCGATTTAGGTGAATCGGGGTCAGCTGGAAACTGAATTAATCGGGAAGGAATTCTTGTTTTATTAAACTACTTTGTTATGATTTCTGGTGTATTCTGGCAAATCAGAATGTGCCATGTCTGGAAGGCTTTACCAAAACATTCCTCAGAAAGCCACGCCTTCTTGCAGATACAAAAATGTTTTTAACCTTAATATGTATCTTATTGTAATGTGTATGAGTGTAAACAATGATTAACTTGTTAAATCAAACACATAGTGATTTGTGATATAAATGAATCACTGTAAGAACAATATTCATTTCAAATTAATTGATTTAAGTACAGATTATTCAAACAAAGATAACACCACCCACAATCAGGGACTTCAGCGTTTTTTATGGAAACATCTCAGTGACCGACTCAGAAAGTCGAAACAGATCATTTCTCTATTTCACACCAACACCTTGTGACCCCGGACTCATTTAATGAGTAGCTCCTCTGGTGACCATTTGTATCTGTGTGTGTGTGTGTGTGTGTGTGTGTGTGTGTCTGTGTGTGTGTGTGTGTGTGTGTGTGAACACTGTACAGAATGATGGAAACTCAATCTGGTGCAGGGTGATAGAGGAGCCCCG